TTCTCTCCTGAACTGGCCAGTTTCAATGGCCAAAAAACACTTGAAGACCCGCCAACATGCGTGATTTTCAGAGTATCATTCGATGACATGATTCCTCCCTTCTGGGAAATCTTTATTCTCCGCTGATAACAAGATCACTAGACGATGTCTGACATTCTTGGAAAAGTAGTGAATGTTTCGTTTTATCGACAACCAAGTGACTCATCCTGGAATTTTCGAATACTTACAAAAAACTATCAAGTTACTTCATTGTTTACCCCTCTTAACATCTGCTTTTCCTTCGTAAACAAACTAATTGTTAGTCAATGTGTTCCCAAGTGTTTCTATGTTGGGAATGGTCAAAATTAGCCTTTTTATTAAGGTTTATGTGAAAAGGCTAACGTTAGGGATGTGAATAAGACGTTGTACAGTATGTTTCCTTAAGAAGCGTGACCGTAATCAAATGTTTGCAGGGGTAGGAGTCTGAACTGGAAGGTGCCGAGACCTACCCACTAGTGTTTTCGAAAGACAGGCAGCGAAATGCAGCTGGATCACAAAATATAACAAAATACATATAATATTTTTAGACTCAGTAAGTTACTCTTTCAGGAGGACATGTTCTAGACATGAGCAATAGTATTGTCAACGAGGTGCATTTTTTCAGAAGGCTCTTTTTATAGCCTTGATTGTTTAGCTGGTTTCTTATATCTGATTTCTAGGAGTGTCAAACCCTATGAATGTTGCTACAAAAAAAAAGGAGTACATGTGAAAAGGGTGCAGTGCGGTATTGAGGTTTCTGAGCTGCAGCATGTGGCGACCAAGTTTTTGAAAACACGGAGCTTCCCTCTATATTAGTCTATGAAAAAGAAGAAGAGAAGAAAGGAAAAAGGAATGACGAAAAAATAAGATCCAAGCATTGATATCATTTTACAAGTGCTCAAACTTAAAAGAGTCAGTGGTCATTCAAATGGAAACTTTTTTAAAGGTGTACCGAAGGTGTACCCTTTTTCACGAGTATTCTGTGGCAAAAGCATTGGTCCTATACTATACTTTACAGTCCTATACTTTCAAATCGAGTTGCTGTATCGTTGTAGGAAAATATTCAAGATGAGGTGCTATGGTAAAACGCCAGTGGGTCTTAATACCCAGTGCAGATGGGATCGAACACGTTTTCCTTTCTCGCCTCTAGATAAGAACGAATAGGTGGAAAAACGATCTACAGATTTTCTGCAAGAGTTTATGGAGGTTGGACGTTTCCAGGCTTAACTCTGAGCCTGAGATAATCTGTCATGGCCGATCTAAAAATAGGAGAAAAATGCTAATCGTATCAGAAGGAATATAAGAGGTGAAAAATTGGAAAGCAATTGCTGAAGCTAAACAAATTTAAACTAAAATTAAAACGAGACTTCGGAAATTGAAAATAAATTTTTGGTAAAAAAAAANAAAAAAAAATTCAAATGAAATTAATCGCTGAAATTTAGCAAATTAATCTTATTTGAATTGTAGCATTTTCTCAAGCAGTTTTGGGAATGAATGATGCGAAAGGATTGTGCTAGTAGGAACGAGAATGGGAGGCTGAGGAGGGTGGAGGAATGCTAGTGGTCCGCGGTGCTGACATATTCCTGACAAGGTGCAAGACAACCAACTGGACAGCTGCATTGCAACCCTTTGTTACTATGATGTATGAGACCATCAGATCGACCACGGAGAGCTCGTTATTACTGGCAAGAAAAAGGTGGGTTCGGACCCATCGATAGGAGGATTCCAGAGGGGGATTGCGGTGGTAATGCGATATCGAGCAGAGAAATGAGCCTGGGCCAAGATTGGATTGGAGTCGTTCCCTAATCTACGAGCCGAGTGGAAGTGTCTCATCTACCTCTGCCTGCAAGAACAATTAAATGAATTAGTGTTGCCACTGGATCGATAGCTATCCGACAGAAAACTAATGGCAGCATCTGGTAATTCAACATATGGATGAATAAATCACCACAAATTAACCTCGTTTAATCGCTAGCGCTGCCTGCCTGCCTGCCTGCTCGAAGGCAATGCTTCGCGATGAAATTGACTTGGCTCGTTTTTGAGCATCACATTAAACATACAGCTAGGAAAGTGCTCTGGACTCTTCGCGAGGATGTTTTGGCTGCCCTTGAGATTATGGAAGATGGAAATCAACAAAAAAGAGTTCGCCTGTTTGTTTTTTTTCTGGCCGACTTCTTTGTGTTGATTTGGCATGCTTATTTCGAATAAGCTCGACCATTACAATAATCCGCGATATATAGGTTATTCACCTCCAGCTTCACGTCGATGGAATTAATGGTACATCAAGCTCTAGTGAGCTACCCCGTAAGATCTTAACATTCTGTACTTTGATTGACAGTTTCTGCGAATTTCTGCAACTTCGATTCTGTCTAAGCTCATAGTACTCCTCAGCGTACACCTTGAGTTCACTCTGAAGTACATAAGTTCCACTGCATCGAAATCTCACTAGTTTTAAAAGTGACTCTGAATGTTCGGCCTGGCTCCGGTCTGGCGTCCAGGATCAGATAGAACCCATCCTTCTATATTGGCGCAGCCGACTCACTTGTCCGGCACCCTTCTTTGTGTCCATCCTTACCGCCATGATCCGACCATTGATCCTATTGACAGCGAAGACAAATTCTGTAAGCAAGCTACTACTATGGTCACACCATTTCGTTTGGTGTCTTCTCCGTTGTGATGGAGCTTGACTCTTTCAACTTCTCTGCCTTCGCTGCTTTACAGAGTGTCTCCGGAAGGGAGGATTCGATCTAGGATTTGATCCGGCGCTCCATTAGTCAGCACTTCTTAGGGCCTCTCAGTAAGCCTTCTGAGACTGATGTTGATGATATTGCTCCGATACCGTAAAGCGGAGAAGAACGCCACGACGAGCTGCAGAAGTGGTAGAAAGTACAAGAACGGGCTCAGAATTGAGGGGAAAAAAGACCAAGCTCCTTAGCTCAGAGAGTGCGCACATCCAATCGAATAACTAGGAGAATGCATCGAAAGTGTCCAAGACTTCCGGGTGGTCTAGCCATCGCCAGTAGCATGGATCAGTCCGTGAAGGCTCGAGTTAACCCTTCGACGACAATGCGGAATTCGACGTGACGCGCCCATGGGACCACGCTCCCCTCCTTCCGCGCGCGACTGGCTCCCACCGGTGGGTGGCACTGTTCCAGGAGAAGATTCTTTCACTGGCTTTCTGAGTTTAGCAACTGGTAAAAAACAAGAAAGTAAGGTGGCACCCAAAATTGGGTGTCATTGCCCCATGCGCCAGACATATTGGCACCCACCAGTAGGTGCCATTGTTAACACAGCAAACGTTTAAGGTCCAAAGGTTTCCTATGCGACCGACTGGCTCCATGGTAATCAAAGGTATACCAGACTTCGCTAAGACCCACGACGCTATACAGCAGCGAGTGTTGCTCGGTAGGAGAAATCGTATTAGACACCATCGANCGCGCGCGACTGGCTCCCACCGGTGGGTGGCACTGTTAAAGGAGAAAATCCTTTCACTGGCTTTCTGAGTTTAGCAACTGGTAAAAAACAAGAAAGTAAGGTGGCACCCAAAATTGGGTGTCATTGCCCCATGCGCCAGACATATTGGCACCCACCAGTGGGAGCCATTGTTAACACAGCGAACGTTTGAGGTTCAAAGGTATCCTCTGCGACCGACGGGCTACACGGCAATCAAAGGTATACCAGACTTCGCTGAGACCCACGACGCTATACAGCAGCGAGTGTTGCTCGGTAGGAGAAATCGTATTAGACACCATCGATCAGAAATGAGGATGTTTAGATGGGCCTTCGATTGGACGTGAAACCCGAAGCAGTCGAGGGACTCACGCATTTTCGCCTGTCTAATTCCCTATATATACACTGAATATAAGAGAGCAGTGTCGAGGTTGGTATGGGCACGTACTGAGAAGGCTAGATATTCACTCAACAAAAAAAGCTATCAAATTCTAACTCAAAGTGATTGGCCATGGTAGATTGCGGTACATTGGAAATATCTCTTAAGAATGATGTAGATTTTCAAACAGCAAACTCTCGAAAAAAAGCGGGACAGGTAACTGGCTGACCAATCAAATCCTGCGGCCCCACTTGTTTTGATTGAGAGAATATGCAAGTCGAAGAAGAAATGGGAATTTTTTATATTGGGTTCAAAACAGAGTAGGAAAATCTGTCATTGAAAACCTTGTCACACATTAGTCAATGTAACATGGAGCTGTTCTCCACACCTTTTCCGTTTTCCTTTCTAGGTCGCTATTAGGTTTTCTACACTATCACACCGACTGTGGAAGGCGATTACTTTCGCAAATCACCACATACCGCTTTTAAGTGGCCATTCGCACATAAAAGCAAAGAGTTTGAGAGTCTCTTACCCCCACACATGATTGTTTCACTCTCAAAAAAAAAACGTCGAATAGAGTCGAGTCAAAAAGATAAATCCGACAGAGCAATAGCAAAAGGAAAGGTAAAATGTTATTGATTGAGATTAAGTGAGGCAGAAAAAAAGAACAATTCGAAAAGGAAAACGCATGCAGTAGACCTAAACGGTCAAGTGCTTAATACATAGTTACTAATTGGATTTGACAACTGTAAAAAGAATCCTTTGAACAACTAAACGTCTGATGAGCATCTACAACAGCCTAACATCCTCAATAGAAACACTCGATTCCTATTCACCACATCAATATACACCTTTTGCATAAATTATTCTAACCCTTTGCGATATGCAAACAATCCTAAGCCTCGTTTACTTATAAGCTTGCAAAAAAAAACAACAGGTAGATGTAGATATTAGCTCAATTTGAAAGCTAATTACCTTACCTAACGGTACTGTACGTGGCATGTTCATGTTCAAATAATTAGCGAATTTATATATTTTTGGCTTTTAGTTGTGAAATCTACTTCTTGGAACGGTTACCTTACCTAACGGTGGTGGTATGTTCATGTTCAAATAATTAGCGAATTTATATATTTTTGGCTTTTAGTTGTGAAATCTACTTCTTGGAACGGCTGAGGAAAGCAGCTATAGCCGCTGCACATTCCTTCGATTGCCAGCGCTCACAGATAGTTTTACATTCGATCTGAAACATATATCAGTAGCAAAATGAAAAGAATCAGCTCAGTAGGCTTTATTACTAAACTTACTTCATTAACTTTCGTTAGCATTTCTTTGTGGAACGACCGAAGAAGCATTTTGTTAACTCGCAAGCTTTCTGGTGGTAGAGAAGAGTGCTGCTTGACTACGGCTGCAGCTCTTGTCTCGAATTCATTATTTGCGATAACCTTCAAAAAGGTGATATTGTTTTGAAAACAATCAAAAGAAATCACAAACTACTTGCGAAAAGGCGTAAACGTCAATTAAGGTGACTCACCTCATTCACAAGACCGGCATCGAGCGCTTGATAAGCAGTAAGCTTTTTGTTCAAGATGAGGAACTAAACATGACGCTATTCACCATTTAGAAATCATATTGTATATGAATCATTATTCGTACCTCTGCGGCTCGTAGTTGCCCCATGAGAATCGGGAAAGTGTACGACGACGCACCTTCAGGCGATTGCCCAAGTGTAGAAAAAGGAGTGTGGAACGTGCTCTGTTTTGAAAAAATAGTCATTTCACAACTTACCCTGGGCTTAACATTAAAAAATAGGTACCATGTCAGTAGCAAGAACATAGTCGAAAAGAGGTAGAACCGTGACAGCGATGCCTACAGCGGGGCCGTTGATGAGACAAATTAATGGTTTTTCGTGGTCAATATATGCCTAAATCACGAAAACGATGGCAAAGTCACCCACATAATCAACAGTATCCATAAACCTAAAAGAAAACCTTCAGGATATAATATATCAGCTTTATTAGTTCTTAATCAGTGAAAAAGTTGCAAAAGCTTGTATGATCTACTGTAATCACATGGTTGCTACGTCTGAAACCTACATAAGCTGGCCATGGGTTAGAGAAAAGTCTTTGGGAGTCGACTATAAGCATAGGTTAAAGGCTGCAGCTTGCAACTACTTCCCTCCTAAAAATCAGCTTGAAACAGAAGTCTAGTATCCTTTTTGCCGCCACTTGTGGTCTTTCTGTTGCGCAATCATTGTTTTCTTGATGTGGAACATGAAGCGATCTAACGACGAGGTTTATAGAGTTCTGATCTGATAAGTGACTCTGACCTTTTCGATAAACAAGCTTTTCCTCATCCGATTTAATCTAAGGGAATACCTGGATATACTCCTTCAGAACTTCAGCAGCAGTTTCAGCCATTTCCTTGACTTCTTCTTTGCTAGCAGAAGCAGCCTTCGCGAAATTACTGAGATCATTACCAGAACAGAAGAAATTTCCAGTACCTGAACTTACTACTGAGTACATTTGATTTAAAACTTGAGACAGATCGGTAACTGACCTGTTATAACTGTGATAGAGGTAGATTTATCTTGATTTGAAGCTTTAAGGGCAGCTATTATACCCTTGTACATATCCAGTGTTATTGCGTTAAATTTCTTCGGACGATTAAATTTGATTTGGAAGGCCTTGCCTTCCACAGATACCTGTAGAACGCGTTATTTAGCAATGAATCAGTGTCAAAAACTGTTCATCTTTAAAGTTCTCATAAGACTCCAACTCGACGAAAGTGGAAAAAAAAAAGCCTCTAGTCTGGAAATGACTCGGACCAACCTGGGTTCAGTATCTTTGCTAGTATCGGGATCAGGATCGTATAAAAACAATAAAAATAAGGAAAGATTGAACGCACATCTAAACCTTCGACAGGCTGCAATCCCATTGGAGCGGTTCCAGGTGGAGCTGAAGGTGACTGTTCACCCAACAGCGACTGAACCAATTTGGCATATTGCGCTTGCGCTTCGTCCTAACAAGTATTTACTAAATATCCATTCAAAAGAAATCAAGACAAACAAACCTTACCTTACTAATTCCTTTAATCTTAGACCAGGCATCAAATTTCGCCCTACCAGCAAAGTCCATCATCCCTGGCCGGCTTCCCTGGACGTCCCCAACAGTAGCCTGTAATACTATGAAAATGATAATCCAAAGCTTCCTAACAAAACCCATACCTGCTTAAATAAGGCGTACATCTGTAATTTGACGTCCACATCTGGCTCTTCCTTTAACGTCTTCAAATCAGCCTGAGCCTTTTCGAACAACTCTTGATTGGAGGCAAAATTTCTGAAATAAAACAACAATAGAGCACAACTTGTAGAAATACAATAAAAATCCTGTCTACAAACAACCCTTAATTTTTACTTGCCACTAGCAAGTACAAATCAAATCATAGGAAATCTCAAAAAATCTCATAGGAACGAAAATTTGGTATGGGAATAAAGTTCCTACAGTGGCCTTAAGTTGGAATAAATTGTAGTGGACGCAGGATTTCACAGAGGGTATATTTAATTCAACGGCATGTACTTATCTGAATACACAGCTCCTCAACTCGCCATATATACGATGCAACAAAACGAACAGTGTCTTTACTGTGAAATAAAATGCAGTGGACGTGGGATTTCACAGGCAGTACACCTTCAGTCACAGCATAACCCTACTCGAATGCAGTAGTGCTGACCCGTTAGAATGCGATGCGTCGAAAAGGGAACTTGGGTAACAAGGAAGGACGATATGGTGGGGAAGGAAGGGGAATAGTTTTGCACTACGAGCCATGTTTGAGCCAAGGTGATGGCCAGCGGTTGTAATCTCACCTTCTGAGTTTTATGTTTTCGGAGTGACATAACTCTCGTTCTAGACATACCTATTTGGAATAAAGAATGGTCGACATAAGGAGTACAGAGAACTCGAGGAACGACTGATCATCTGAAATAAAATCTTTTTTCAGCGAAATATAGATGTTACGTAGTGATGTGAGAGTACTTTGCAGACCGTAATAGATGTCCCTCAGAGTCTCCCTAGAATTTTGTAAATGAAAACACGAAGAGCTACCCAATATGGGTTCTGTCTAGGGAGTTCCGAATAGAAGCGGATGTTCGGGATTGAGAAACGACGAAAAGAACAAAATAAGAGGGGCTATCGTCACTGGGCTTGAATGCTTCCTTACTGATACCTTCACAGTAGTTTTAGAGTACTCGCGCAATACAGTAGCCATACCCAATTCAGAATAAATCTGAAGTTCACAGGGTTACCCTGCTCTGAGAACCAGTACCTCGGCTTTTCGAAGAGAATGGTGGTGATAACACCGTTACTTGCGAATACAGCGATGTAGAGCTTTTCCTACCTATCTATCGACTGCACATTCTCAGAGAGATGGCAATTTTCCATGGGCTTAAAATAGGAAATCCGTGCAGGGCATGGTTTACATCTGCTCATTCAAGAAGAAAGGGGCTCTGATGTGTGCCATTTGTTTGGTTCCAAAGGCTACCCTTTTGGGCAGTTATATACTTACTCATTGATGAATCCTTTTCGAAAAAGGTTCAATAATAAGTATGGTATATCGTATTTGGGAGTAAAACTCGGATGGGTCTCGCTGAATGGCATTTCTTACTATACCGTGATTCACCCTGAGCGTAGATAACACGATATTCCCTCATCCTCCCCCCCCCCCCCCC